GAGAAGCTGGTTACCAGCTTCAGTGAGCTGCTTCTCAAGCAGCTCGTCATCTGACAACGCCATTGTTAAACACCTCTAGATCTCTCAATTTCTCGACTTCTGCAACAGCATCGAAACCCTAAAACCTCCAGAAAAATGGATCACCACCATATATAACTAATTTAACACCGAACAAACAAAAATTGAATCTTCTCAAAAAAAAAAAAAAAAATCAAAATTTCACCGTCAAAGAGAGAAGCGTTAGAGCGCGAAAAAGGACGAAAATTAAATTTTTACAATTTATGATGAAATTATTTTAGGAGAGAGAAAAACTAGGGTTTAGTTTTCGATTTTAATTTTGGGGGAAAATGGGAGAGAGAGAGAAAAAAGAGGAGAGAGAAAACAAACCTGAATTTGTGCGTAGTAGAAATTTATGAGAACCTCGATTTCTTGTTTATTTTTTTGGGCGAGTTTTTCGTAAGATGGATTTATTTATGACGATGGTTTTTTGAGAGAGAGAGATGTAAATATTTCGTCACTTTTATTTCATTTTCATAGTGAAAATAGTTCAAATAAATAAAGCTTTCAGAGTATTTATAATAATCCGGATTTTACTGAGGGTGTGATGTTATGGATTGTAGTTTGAGGAGTTTTGGAGTCCGCTTGTTTGGGATTGGGGGAATGTTTTGGGCTATGGAGTAATTTTCTTCTTGTTTTTGACCCAATTCAAGCTCAAATAAATATGCATGCTCTTTCATGCTTTGAACAAAGTTGTGTTTTTACTAATGGTAATGAGTGTGCTTAATTTGTTGCTCTCGGAATTTATGGTGTTTTATTCAACAAGTGTTTTTAGAGTTTCAGTAACAGTTTGACTAGTGTCTATGATTTACTGGTAAAATTGGATTGGTCTGCTAATTAGATAATTTGTCGCTTTCGGAATTTACGATGTTCTACTTAATGAGTGTATTTAGAATTCAATAACAGTTTTTTCTGGTGTCTATGATTTACTGGTAAAATTGGATTTGTCTGCTAATAAGGAACATGATAGGTTTAGATGTGTTAATTACAGTTGTTAATGTTACTTGAATTTGTTTAAAATCTTGCTTGTTATACCGATCTTTTCTGGATTATGTTTACTTGTATGTGCTTGAAGCCGTTAGAAAGGTATGGTGACGTGGAACAACTGGTTGTCAGTTAGATCATTATAGTAGATATCAACACTCATTGGTGTTCAAAATATTTCTCTATAGTTATTATTAATTGTTGTTTATATCATTAATTAAGAGTGACACGTGAGCCTGAAAAAAAAAATTGAATTAGTAAACCTTATTAAGTGGGGTCCGTTGTGCCTCGTGTCGGCATATGATTTGTTTAAAAAAGAAAAATAAAAAAACCAAAACCCTATGACTGACCCTAGCCACCCCAACCCCACCTCCGACACCCTCTATCCTAGCCCCGGGCACCAGAAAATTCCTTCCCCTCCCTTTCCCCCACCCTAAAACCGGCAGCCTCCCCTAAACGACCCCAAAAAAAGCCAGTCGTTTACAAAAGCCCAAAAACGACCACCAATAACAGTCGAAATTGATTGGTTTAGGGTCAAAATCAACCACTCGGACCCTAAATCGGTTGATTTCGACCATTAGCGGTCGTTTTTGGTGGTGATTTTAAGGGAGTTCGTAAAATTCCGGCCGATTTGTGGTGGCGGTTTGGGGGAGGTTGCCAGTTTTGGGGTGGGGGAAAGGGAGGGGCCGAATTTCTGGTGGCTGAGGCTGGGCTGGGATAGGGGGTGTCGGATGTGGGGCAGGGGCGGCCGACGGTGGGGGTGAGGTGGCTGGGTAAGTTTTAGGGTTTTGGTTTTATTTTTATTTTTCATTTTTCATTTTTTAACCGATTATATGCCAACACGTGGCACAATGGATTTCATTAACAGATTTCGTCTAATAACTTGTTAAGTGGTGGTAAAAACCAATTTTTTTTGAAATTTTGGTGGTGCTAAATTTATTTGTATTTTTTCGCAGTTTTAAAAACCAATTTCGTGCTTTTTTGTGGTGATAAAAATCAGAATTTTCTTTTTCTTAATTCAATTATATAAGTTAGACAAAGAGACTACGCACACACTTGTCTATATCATATGATGTATATGTAAGCTAACTAACATTGACTTGGTGTCCAAATTTTGTTCCACCTAAAACTCTTTTACTCTCTACACAATTTTTTATTTTTTTTTATTTTTTATGTTTAAATATTAATGTGTTATGAGTTGTCTTCTATGTTTTTAAACTTTAAAATAAAATTAAAAAGAAAATTTCAACTCATGCATTAAAAACATACATATATAGTAATCAAGCTAGTCTATAATCAGTGAGTAAAACCAATGTTGTAAGCATAATACCAAGTAAAATCTCAATAATGTGATTACAATAAGCATAATACCAAGTAAAATCTCAATAATGTGATTACAATCATATTTTCCATTCACATTAATTGTAATACCATTTATGTAATATTTGTTTATTATTAGTGTTGAAAATACTTTAACAATAAGTCTTGTATAATACGACTTTTGTTAATTTTATTGAAATACGGTCAATATGAGGGTTGCTTTAACATTTTTTAAAGCAACTTTAACCTATTTAAGGTTGTTTGATTTGTAATGAGTTTGACTATTATTTAATGTGTCTATTCTAATGGATACGTGTTATAAAGGCAAATATAATTAATTTAATACACTATGAGTGTTTTTAAGATTAAAATTTATGTTAGAAAATGATAACTTTCATAGTATATAAGAGTAATTTTAAACATTTCAAGGTAACTTTAACCCATCTTATAATAAGTTAATGAAAGTTCAGCTTATTCAAGAATCTGTAATAATTTAAATCTTATAAAATGATTATTACATCTTAATGATATTTTCCTCATATGGTAATCATGGATTCATATCATTGATAAATTAAAGTAAAATCTTTTTTGTGAGTGTGAATATGATATTATATTTCCATTTCCAATAATGGCTTAGCAATTTTGATTTATTTACTTTTTTATTTTCCTGACAAGGTTGAAAGATTTATTAACTTGTTTTGAAAATAATGTAGCTAATAAATATATCTTAGTGATACTTTTTCTCATATGTTAATCATAGAAACATAAAAAAAAATATAAATATATATATATATATATATATATATATAAATATATTTTTGGAGGAACTTAGATATACTAACATGCTCGAAATTAAAATTATACATACAATCAAACTAGAGAGACATGACTTTTTAAATCAGGCCATGTTTTCTTCACATTAAAAAAAATAATATTCAAGTAAATTATTTCACTTAAGTAGTAAAAATAATGTCAGTTCAGTAAAAATAAGTTTAATTTAGTAAAAATAATTTTAGTTTTTAGTGACAATAATAAATTTCCATTTAGTTAAAATCGGTAACTTTACAGAACAAATATAGTGGAGAATTAGTAAAAATAAGTTTTGCTCAGTCAAAATAATTTCAATTCAATATAATTAATTTCAGTTTAACAAAGATAATTTATCTTTAATAAAAATAATTTCAGTTCAATAAAAATAATTTTAATTTAGCAAAAATAAGGTAAAGAGAACAATGCCTTATATAATCATAAATTAAAAAGGATCTTGCTAACGAGCACCCTGTGGCGTTAAGTAACTAATTATATCACTTAAATAGTATTAAGGTAGGACTGCATAACAAAATCACGCGTCAATATGTGTAATTAATGTTGATATTTTAATATTATCACTTTTAGTACTCTTATCTAACGCCCTGGGTGCTCTCATGGGTTTACCGTTTAAAAAATTGTACAATCTAATTTAAATTGTTAGTATAATCATAAATTAAATTAATATTATAAAATCAAATTAGAAAGGCATGACTTTTTAAAATTGTAGTATAAATGTAAAATAAATCATTCATGGATTTGTACTGCCTTCATTATTTATTTGTGCTTATCACATACAAATATACTATTCATTTGGTTAATATATAAAAAACTTTGACCATCATTTTCTACTTATGCACAAATAGAAAATTTACCGCATATGATCTTAGTATAATCGTTTCAATGTCACGTGTAGTACCTAAATATCAGGGTTTTTAAAAATTTATCTTAGATTAAAGATATGATTGGTCAAACAAGTGTGTTGAAAACTTCACAAAATGCAAGTGAGTAGAAAAAAAAAACCATGTTGAATGGTGTACATGCTGGTATTGATAGTAATAAAGACTAATAACTAATTGTACACGCTAAACATTGTCGTACATAAACATCTAACTCTACTAGTTTGTTAAACCAACCATAAAATCATCTAGCAATATTCGGTAGTCAAATGATTGATGTGAACCGGTTAACGGCCAACAACCAATAATTGTGTTGCCAAAAAATACTTAAACTTTCGTTAATTTTAAATACAGTACATTGTAAGTAAACATATATGTCACCTCTACATAAAATTTCACAAATCAACTAGTTTTTGGCCTGAGCAATGCCATATATATATATATATAATCATAATAAAATAAAATGATAATATATATTTATGCATACATACACACATTTAAAAAGGTATGATTTGTTTATTTTTGCAAATATTATTGAACATAAAAATTCATTATTCAATACACAGTAACCTAAATTTATTTTATTTTTTAAAAGGATATTAATTTCAATTGTCATAAATAGTCCTTGATAAAATAAACTATTCTATGGTTAAAGAAAACTTTTAATATTGCTATGCATTTTTAGTTTACATTATTTTAAATAATGAAATTAATTTTGTAATCATATTATTGCTAAAGTATATACATATAAACTGACAATTAAAAATTTAAATTTTAGTAATTTTGAAAGCAAATACTCTGTAACTATTTTTTTTTTGTAGGATGCTTATCCGATTAACCGAAGATTAGCTCCGATAATATTTAAATCAAGAGTTTTTGTATACGGTGAGACTCGAATCCGAGACCTCGTTTAAATGACATTAAGGTTAGCTTTAATGAATACGAGGTCGTCTACTTTATTATTCGATCAAACGGTAGACATAATTACCGTCTTTGGAGCTTTTCACTTTTATGCTACAACTTCCCCCCTTTCTCCGCCGAATTCTCCATTGAAGCGCGTTATCTCAATTCTCCATTCTCCATTCTCCATTCTCTATTGAAGCTTGAACCAAGCTTTCTCTCCTCCATTAGGTAAGAAGTTTTGTTTTTTCTATTTTAAATCATGGATTATAAATTCACAATCTAGGGTTTACCGCTGATTTAATTGTCTATATAGTCAATTTTAGGGTTCTTCTAAGGTAAATTGTTGAAATTTTGGTTATAATTACTTAAGTTATGAAAGATTATAATCGTCAATTTTGTTGCTGGAAATTTTCAATGTGCAGTTTACGTTGATAATCTTAAACGAGAAAAACTGTATGTGATTTTTTGAGCCTAATTTGATCATTGAGTCAAATTTGGTTGCTAATGTGTTGCAGGATGTTGTTTATAATCCTTTATGGTAGGATGGAACTATGAAAATGGACCTTTTCTCCCTCGGCCCCCCAGGGCGGCCACTCCTCCTGCTGTTTGCCCTGGCTCAGGGACGGGCCTGGGTAAAATTTTGCTTTTTTAACAAATTATATACGAGTAAGCATAATCTGTGAGAGGTTTGAGTAGCTTTTGTGAGATTAGAGTAGGAGAAGGGAAGCGGGGGTGAGATTAGAAAAGCTAAGGGGGCTTTGGTATAGTAATTTTAGATATAGGAAACGGATTCAAATAAGTGTTTCCATATTTATTTGTTTGGTATGAGTTAAAAGTAACAACTACCGTTTCTGGCGGGTAACAAAATCATCCAATTTGTTACCCTTGAGGCCTTGACAAACTAGTGGAAACAAAATACGTTTTCTTAATCACAATCTACTCAAATTTTTTCCATTCCATTAGGATACCGGACATATAGTAAAGGTAACGTTTATTATTACCCTTTCCCCTATTTATTTGAATAATTTCCATTCCATTTAAGGTGTTATACCAAACACCCCCTAAATATCAGGGGCGCGTTAACCCAGGATGCCTGAGTATTGTTTGACTTATTTTTATTTGAGCTAAATCCTGCAAATGTGACAGTGTAAGCAGCTTGGGTGTTTTCCTAATCGAGTGAGAGGTATTGACCGGGGGAAGGTAGAATTCAAAGCATATCTAGGACTATTAGTTTGCCTTTATTGTTTCGTGTCATATATTATGTTTCCTTCCCGTAATTTAATTTAGATGGAAAGGATTCATTATTAGTATCATCATTATTTTGTTTCATGAGCCATGGGCATGCCATTTATTGGTAATACTGATTACCCTTGATTAATAGAAAGCCTAGATTTGTCATCCTCATGGCTACTTTTCATTACCAGTGACAAAATGGGGAGCAAAGGGCGATTACCACCTCATCATCTGAGGCATCCTCTTCATGGCCCTAGTTTGGTGCATCCGGAGCCATTTGGAGCTGGGATATGGCCTCCACATGGTGGGTTTCCTCATGGTGACATGTTGCCTCCACCGGAAATTTTGGAGCAGAAACTTGCTTCTCAGCATGTTGAGATGGAGAGGTTGGCAACAGAGAACCAAAGGCTTGCTGCCACTCATGGATCATCGAGACAGCAGCTTGCTGCTGCACAACAGGAACTTCAGATGTTGGAAGCTCAAATTCGAGATTCAAAGCTAGAGAGAGAGCAACAGATGAGAGGTCTAATAGATAAAATTTCGAAGATGGAAGCCGAATTAAAGTCAGTGGATCGCCTTAAACTAGATCTACAGCAAGCAAGGACAGAGGCACAAAGCTTGGTTGAAGTGAGGCAAGAGCTTATGTCTAAAGTGCAGCAACTAAATAATGAGCTTCAAAGGGCCCATGTAGATGTGCAGCAAATACCTTCTATGATGTCTGAACTCAATCACCTTAGACAAGAATTTCATCAGTACAGGTAAATGGCTTTAACTGTCAATATTTGGTAATCTTAGTCTCCTATTTAATTGCAAAGTCTAATGACAGATGTGACCATGTTCATGAATTTGTTAGCTGTTAAAACTTCTCTCACATATTGTTGGCACAGTTTTGAATCTACACTGACATGCTTAGATGCTGAATTTGGCAGGGCCACATATGAACATGAAAAAAAGGTTTACCGTGACCATATTGAATCTCTTAATGCTATGGAAAAGGAGTACAGGAGCATGAATGATGAGTTGGCAAAACTTCGAGCTGAGTTGAATAATATTTCAAACAGTGATAAAAGATCAGGTAACTTATTTGTTGTGAAACATCTCTGCTTTTAGGTTTGTGGTTTCAACGGTTTTGGTGATTTCTGAATTGCATACTCATATCTCTATGCTGACGCAGCTTATGTTACTGCTGCCGGATATGGTGACGTTGATGCCTCTGCTCACAATCCTTCAGGACAGAGTTCCTATGAAGATGGTTTTGGAGCTCAGCAGGTACAAGTGTATAAAAATTTTCATGTATCACCAAGGACCAATCCACCATGTCCACCAAAAGATGTACCAGCAACGTTTGGTCACCTAAAGACTCTTGCTATATGTTGTTACTGATTGTTATATGGTATGCTTTATTTTGCATGAAAATTGACCTCAATCTGCAACCTGTAGTCCTGTACCATACTCATGTAGTTTAACTGGCATATCTATCTACTTGGTTTGAAGCAGCTTGACTGTATCTACAGATCTATACTGGCACATCAATTGCTTTTTGATTGAGTTGCGTGTAGGCTTTATCCTTGATTAAGAATTTGACCACTTTTTTCTAACAAAAATAGAGCACAGTAACCCTCTACTAAAGGGAGCAAATTTTTTCAACTTGCATAGTTTTAATCATACCAACTTACCAAGACCAATGGAAATGTCCTCTTTGGAATGTTAGGAAGTAATACTGCCAATGCCTGTTGACTTACCTTGCTTAGCGGCATGGTATGATTTTCTGCTGAGACGTGTCAGTTTGTTGCTTTGATATGTTTTCATGCTCCAAACCCTCACATTCCACCCCCCCCCCCCCTCTTTCTCTTTTAGAAACTATTCTCGAGGTCTTTTGCTTTTTCAGTTTACAGACGGGGCCTGTTACAATATGTTCTTGTTAAAATATCTCACACCTTTCCTTTGTCTTGAAATTCTTCTGGGAGCATAAGGTTTACTGATTTGCACTTATAATTTTCTATCAATTTTATCTTGGTGAATGTGTGGTGTTTGCTAGAAAAATATCTTATTTGGCAAAGCGTAAAGGGGTATTCTTTGGCTTCTTAATCATAGACGTTATGCATGTGGTTTCTGGGGTGCAAAGTGTACGATGTTGTTTGTTTCCCACTAGCTACAGGTTACAATAGTTTTAATGGTAGCTGACTATGAATAAATTTTCCTTTGCTTTGGCTCCCTTTTGATCCCCTAACCCCTAATCTGTCTCATGTGCTTTTGTTTGTTGCCTTTGCCTTGGGCCTTCCATTCTGATTACAAAACTCTACTTTTACAGTTATGAATGTCGTTTTTTCTCCTCTAGTATTATCTTTTTTTTTTGTCATTTGTGCTGTATTGGCTTTCTGGCTGCTTTAGTTTTTGGTAATTATGACATTTTCTAATTTCTCCTGCCCTATTAAGTTCTTCTTTATGATTACCGTTTCTCCTTTTTTTCGCTCATATTTTGGGTATTACCATCCCCTTTCCATCCACATCTATTTTCCTCTGTGTATTTTGTATATTTGGTAATAGTTTCTCTACTTGCTTGAGGGGCAAAGGCTGCATATCCTTCCTAATCCTGGCATGCTGTGTGTTTCATAGTAGGTAGTGTTGATATTATTGATGCTTGCAGCTGGTTATTTCTGAAACAATATATGTGGCTATGGTCTGTATATAATATGAGTTCTTTATGTACTGCTTTACGATGCATTCTCGATATGGTCAGGTTAGATTAAAATTTATTCTCTGTCTTTTCAGAATGTATGCTGGTTTTTATGCTGAAATTTAAACTGCTGTTTACTTTCTAAATATATTCTGTTTGCCTGTCTGGAAAGTTGAGGATATGTCTTCTGGTCTTCCACAGGTACATCACCAGTTTCCTGCCAGTGGTGCTGCTGCTACTGCATCTACACCTGCTGTTACAGGAGGCAGTGTGGTAGCCAGCGGTGGTGGTACACCAACTTATGCTGCACCTCAATCTGGGCCAGCCTCTGCAAGGGCAGGATATGATGTATCGAGGGCCCCTGGTTATGAAGCACAAAGGGTTCCAATTCCAACCTATGACCTGCAGGGTGGTCAAGTCTACAACGCTCAGAGAGCATCAGGCTATGATGCATATAGAGGAGCTAATTATGACATGCAAAGGCCTCCTTATGACCCGCAAAGAGCTGCAGTTTATGAAATGCCTTGGGCCAATAACTATGATGCACATTCTAGGGGTGCAGTGGCTCCACTTCCTCCTCCTCCTCAGGGCCAAACGCCTGTAAACAACACGCCTTATGGATCTGCTGCGCCACCACTTGTTGCTCGAGCAGCAGCAGGAAATGAAATGCAGCCTCGAGGTGGCAATACTGCTCGTAGGTAAGAGAATATCACCAGAAGGTTCTCTGAATTCAGCTGTCTAGATCATGCTTCGTCTCCTTGAAGATTTGGTCATATGCTCTAAAGCAGCTAGACATTAGTTGCTTTTGCATTCAACTGGTTCAATGCAGATATTTTGAGTGGAGAAGGAAGGATTAAAACATTGTAGAAGGTTGACAACACAAGGGAGCTTGATAGATTGTGAGATTATACTTTTGTAGATCACTGGATCGTTCTGTGGCAGTGGATCTTTATATGAGCATTTTTTGTTTGCCAAAATTGGGGTTAAGCCCTGCTGTTTCCTTTTGGCCTCATTGTGACCAATTGTGATTAATGTTTACTGCTCTTTGATCAATTTTGAATTAAATTTTTAGGAATATAATATGTCCAATAAAATTGGTTTTGATATGGGTGAATGTGTGTTGGTAAATGTGGGTTTGGGAAAGAAAACATTCTATTTATCCATGCCTTTACCAGCTCATTGGATTCAAACTGTCCCAGAGTTCTAGCAATGTAAAACCTTCCTTCTGACCATGAGTCTTGTTATGCCCATTTAATATTCTGTGTGTTTTGGAATTTGGATGAACAACGATGAATGGTACAAGTTATGGTATGTGATACAGTTCTGCAGCTGCCGCATAGCATTGAAGGAAAGGTAATGTGATTATTTAGTACTACTATATTACGCGAGATACTGATTTGCAAAGCATTAAACAACACACCAAGCTTAAACAATTTTTTATTCGGGAAATGTAGTATCCCTCCATGTTTTTTTTAAGTGTTAATTTTACTCCGATTAAATATAGCCATAATTTTTAAAGTGTTACATTTTATTTCTGTTTTTTTGGCAAATAATTACATTTTAATACTCCATATTTTATCTTTCTCCTCTAATCCAAACCAACTATTACATTTTCTTTTTTTTCATTATTTCTTTCATTCACATTCATTATTTTTTGATATACTATTAAGAGTATCAACCTCGCTCTTTTTTTATTACACTTTTTAATACTCCAACTATCCCCTACTTACCTCTTACTGTTGTAAAAAAAAAATAAAAAAAAATAAAAAAATAAAAAACCTTACCTCTTATTTTTATTAAAGTCAATTAAATTGTCTATATCTAAAATCTATCATTGTACTCCATGTGTAATTATAGATTACATTAATACATTAAATATACAACAAATTTTGTATAAGTATACCTTATTCATTTTGTATGAAATTATCTATTAAAAAACTTATCTTGTCTGAAATAATTATAATAAATCAAACAAAACAATGTATTACCAAACATTTTAAATTATACAATCAGCTAATACAATACTACATTCAAATCAATTAACATAATCAACTTGAATTTGTACATAGTGTAATGTACTCCTAACAGTTGATTGTAAACATGGCCAAAATGGCTTGTAACTACATTGTATTTATTTCCACGGAATGCGAAACTATTTGCGATTTTATCTTTAAGAACAGACTACCAGATTATACAGACAGGTGAACTGAACAAAGTAGACAGACAAATCAGGCCTTCAACTACGGAAAAGCAATCGACGATCTCTGCAGCCAATGCAAGTCCAAGGAAACAGTGGAGGATCAAGGCAGTAATGATGTATGCAGTTCGTGTGGCACATCTGACAGAACACAAGAAGATCCTCCGGATCTCGGCTCTGACAGTGACAACAGACTGAGGGAAATGTGACCTACAATACCAAAAAAAAAAACCCATTAAGATATCACATGAATTCACATCTATCTATATATATTTTTTACATATCCCCCAAAAATAGATACAAAAGAAGATGCAAGCCTCAACACCCATCAGTGTAGAAAGAAAAACAAAGTAAACAAACACACGATAGAAGTAAAGAATTGTCCTTAAGAGAAAGTGTGAGCAATTAAAGAATGTCTACTAGATCATCTATATGAGCTTAAGAATCACCTGCACGTCAGAGTGACTTGCTGTACCCTCTGAAACAAAGAATATGTCTTGTGATAATGATGCACATGGTATAGTCTGTGAGTAGATTTTCTGATCCAGAGAGGCTGCAGCATTGAGACTTGTAATGTTGACAAAACCGGCCTTGCATAAAGGGCATGTAGGTTCCTTCCTGTTTGAAATCTGTATACAGATAAGTAGTTTATTCAACAACTGCACTATAACAGCACTTGTCGTAGTGATCTAGTTCTGATCATTGTCCAAGTATTCCTTGAAGCTTATTTGCCTTAAATACGATTATGGTTGGTCAATAGACTTTTCTAATTAGGATACAGAAATATGAATCATAGGAACATGGACATGCACCATTCCCAAGTTCACTAATTCAAAAGCAAATTCACAATCAGTTATGCATACCATGTGATCAGCCCAGTTCCGGATGCATGAGACACAGAAGCGATGTCCACATGGCAAAACTCCTCTTAATGAGCTAAATTCTGTCCAGCATATGACACAAGATAGCTCTACTGCTGCACTGACTGTTGTTTGATCTCTTCCAAGTTTATCCCCATTAAAATTTTGAACACCAAGACTACTCTCTTCCATGTTTCCCCCCTTGAAATTTGATGTATCATCATTGTGCAAGCTTGTGTCTGAAAGAAGACCTAGATCATTCATAATGTTGATTTCATCTTCGCTTCCTTGTACAGAAGGTGCAGTCTCAAACCTTCTGCTAATGCTTGCTTCAATCTCCGTGGTCAAGTCATCAGACTCGTTAGTCGGGCTTGAAGCAACATGGAGCTCATTGACATCTGCATGTGTTCTGCTTTGTTCAGCATCATTAGTAGCTATCTCAATGACAGAACTTTTAGCAATCTTCTTCACAAGTCGCCGGCTTCTATGAGAAGATTCTGCAATATATGGCAAATTGCTTGTATCAGCACCACTCCTCTGCTTAAATGAGCATTGGCGTGAGTAATCTGATTCTTCACACTGAAAGGTCAAGAAGAAAGGTAAGAGTCAGTCATTTGAGTATATTCTGCCGTAATATGATACCAGTTACTTGTTACTTCTGAAGTCTGAAGATTCATAATTACAAAGGGTAACTAGATTTAAGTTTTGCTCTGGTTTAGATTGGCAAAATAATTATTTAAATAAGAGTTCAAGCTCCAGTTATGATCCTATTCACCTGAAGTCCATTGACTCTAGGCATCAGGGGTTCATGAATAGTATTTGCCTTTGATCGTCTTTCTCTAAAAATTTCCTCATCCAATTTTCTCTTAGGCAATTGTCGAGCAGCTTTTCTGCTTCCTGGTTTGGGAAATGAGTTCTACAATATACAAATAACAACAACAAAAAAAACACCATAGTTAGTTAAAAGGATTAGTAGTACAAACTGCACACAGATGAATACTGCGAGTTCAATTTGAGATAGCATTGGTAAAAAGCATAAGGATCACTAGCACTGAGGGATCAACGCAAAATCTCTCAGGATCAGGTGCAAATGTGCGACACCACATTGCCAAAAACAAATTCCCCTATAATTCAACTCTCATTGCTACGTTAACAATATTCTTCAATGACATGATTCTATTACCTCATCTAGCAACAAATCGTCATCCCAATCATCGTTCTCAATTTCATCAGGATCCAGATCTATTACATCATTGAGGCAATCACGTATGTTTGGCTTGTTCAAAAGAGCAGTATTCTCAGATAGCATGCCTGTGGTTTCCTTGACAACTGGAAGGCTCTGGAATTTGAAACCTATTTCTTGCCCACTGCAAATAACAAAACAGACTAGTTAATAACCATGTAATGGTGGGACAGTATAAAAAGACTGACAACGCTAATGCAGTCAATCAAGCTTTTTCAAAAAAAATCTGAAGTGAAGAGAACAATAGCTTTGTATGAAATTTATACAGCCAAAAACTTATCCCTTCTCTTCAATCTATACATGGTTGATGGTTCGCTTATGAATGTTATGATGATTGAGGACCTCTTCTCTTCACAAATTGCAAGTTGAATCGTCAGATTAATCAAGCATCAACTAAGCAATATATGATGATGCGTTGCTTCTCAAGTAGCCAACAAGAAGAAATATATAAAATACTTCCACAGCCTGATCATCTAAAAGCAAATGAACCAGAGAAGATGCCGGAACTTTTTCTTACCTATGCAGTGTATAGGGAAACTCTGCAATACACTTCCCTTCCTTAATGCAGTCTTCAAGCCACTGATGATTGATAACCAAAGTCCCAAACTTCTTCGCATATTCATACTTCTTCCCTTTAAACTTCCAACAAATCTATCCAAAAAGATAACTTTTTTTTATTGGCATATTATGAGAACGAAATAAACTAAAGAATAACTTGAAAGGGTAGAAAAAAGTGAACAAATTGCTAAACATAATTCTGTCTAATAGAGCAAGTGACATAGTAGCTTTCTTGGTAAAGTGACAGAGCCCCCTAATAAACTATAATTACAAGCATACTATACAACATATCTTCCTTCACATATATTAAGTATTTGTCACAAATTAGCTGCTGGACCTCAAAAGTCAAAACAATTTCTTGCTCCCTACATCAAATATTCCGACACAGTCTTGCCATGCTTCCATATATGCTTCCACTGCTCCCTACAAATTCCACCCACAAACTCTTACACCCGATAATCCAGGAATATGCTGGTATTAGTAGCGATTTGCTAATACTTTGTAGATCATTCTTGTCAGTTATACATAAACCATCCTAAATCTAGATGTCTACTCGATCAATCAAAGCCTTAATCCCATAAGCGGAGTTGGCTGCATGAACCAAAAGTGATTATTCCGTATAGTAATCCTCCTCCATCCCTTGCGATCAAATACCTCATTGTCAAGCAAATCCATATGCTTACTATAGAGTAGAAATTTTCCTTGTTTCAAACGCAACTTTCAGCTGAAAAATCTCAATCATTGCACAAATCCTATTTATTTTACAGGACATTTGAAGTCAATGAATCCAAATATTCATGAAAAAATCATAAACACGTAGCAACCCCTCAAATTCACCCTAAACTACAATTGAAACACAAATAACTTCAAAATTCCGAGAAACAATACGAATTTCCCACCAAATCAGGCAAATTTGAAGCTAAAACCCAAAATTCTATACCAAATTAGGGCAATAAGAGAAAAGAATAACTGACCAAATGAGTCGTAGATGGTGACATTCTACCGACATAATTGGCACCGGCGAGAGATATCAACTTTATCAGCATCATTCGCTCAGTTCCATAGTATCCACTGAGTGTTACAACGATGGTATCCATTCCTTCCACCATTTTCTGAAACCCTAAAAAGCGCAGTCGAAGATTAAGGATCACAGAATAATGAAATTAACAATGACTCGTAAAAATGAGCAGAAAAAACATTGGATTTGATAGAAAATTTGAGTGAAAATCACCTTAAGCAGGCGTTTGTTGGATTTGAAGAAAGTTTGAGCTAATTTGGGGTTTTGCCGGGAATTGGGAAGATTTGAAAATTTTGAGGGTTCTGGACTTTTTTTTTTATTTTATTTTTTAGGGAAAATTAAACCAAATCTAACTCCGCAAAAGTTATTATACTTCTAGATAGGGGATACTTAAATCTGAAAATTGGAAACCTTTGCCGTTAAATGATACTCAAATATTTACATCACAAAGATAGTTGCTAAATAAATAAAAGTAAAAATTCACGAAAATGACACCTCACAAAAAAAAAGTTACTATGTATAAGAAAATCAAGTAATCCCTTCGTTTTTTTTTAAATGCATCACTTTGATTTTTGCACTATTCACCTACCATGGTTGACTTAATTTTTTCACCTCTATAAAATAAATAAATGTTATTATATAATATATCATTAGATTAGTCATAATGTCTAGATTCATAATATAATTTTGTTACAATTTTTACTAATATACAATTAAATATATTAACGGTCAAAGTTACGTCTCGACAGTTGTGCTGGTCAAACTGATGCCAAAAAAAAAACAAAGGGAGTATTAAAAAAAGGTTTTCAAGGCTTGCATTCAGATTCTGTTTACAACTATTATTTTAATTTTTGTAATTGCATTTTCCATATAAATAAAATTATTGGATTATGAGTCATTAGGAGCTAAAAAATTGCATCCCATAGCTAATGTTTCATTATCAATCCATTGCTTCTGTGTGACTAGTGTCACGAGTTAGAAGAACTCACTAAAGCAACTAACCACTCTGCACGCATTGTGTGCGTGGGCCACCCTAGTTATTTTAGAATTTTGAATCAGATTCAAATAACTAATTTTAATTCATATTGGATTTGATAAGAAATTCAAATTGAATTGAATTAAAAAAACTAAAACATAAATTTTATTTCAGATTGGATTGTATTTGCCTTTACGCCCAAATCTAAATATAGTGATGCAACTATTTTGAAACAAAAGCTAGGTAGTATGACCCATGACCCATCTGAAAAATCCCTTTTGATAGCCACATTCAATATGTAGGTAAATGAATTACATCCCTTTGATACATATGTCAGCCCAATTTTCGTTGGGTAGTTTAATAACAATCTATATCTGGACTATAACTTAGTCCACACAAATTCATTTCCAAATTACCAATGGATCAATGTGGGTGACATACATGTGATAATATATCGAACAATAATGTGGAAAGTAGGCTAGGTGATACATGTGTGAAAGCTTCACCTAATTAGGATTCAAACTCGCGGCATGCATCCCTACTAATAAGACAAGCTAATAATGTGAATTCAATATCTTAAAGACTGACGGTTATTTTACAATATCTATGTAGGAGATCTAATGTGATTTTTTTTTTTTAGATGAGGTGTCATTTACTTTTTACGGATTCATTGTCAGTATTCACGGAAAAAGAAAAATCTGATGCGATTCTCCTCAATTAATAACCTTTAATATTATATATATATGATGATCCAAAGTATTACCATGTTCATTTCCATAAGCCAATCCATTTGTCTTGTTTTGCAAATAGCTAAATTAAATTTTTCTAGAAATTGCTCATTTTATCAAACTAGCAAACCCACCAAGACCCATTCCCCAAAAAATCAAATTACAACCTTCCATGGATTTTAGATACCAAAAATGTTTTGGACTTCAAGGTGACGAAGACAGATTGAGTTCACTTCCAAGTTCAATTCTCATCGCTATTCTCTCACTCCTTCCTATCAAATTCGCTGTCATTACCAGTGTGTTATCAAAGAGATGGTGTCGCCTTTGGACCTTCATCACCGCTTTTCGCTTCGACGAATCAACTAGTAAGGATTTTAATGCATCTTCTATCATTAATTATGTTTTACCTCAACTTTTATCCCCTGAAATCAAAACCTTTGTACTCCTTCTCGATGACCACCCGTACCAAGCCTCCGAGTTTGGTTATTCTCACTCCTTATATAATAGCTACACAAGTCAAGAGACTTACCTTACGACTCTAGGAACCAATATCGCCTCGTGGCTTCAATTTTTCAGCACTCGAAAAGTGCAGACTATTGAGGTTAGATTTTTCGGAGATATTACTAGTGATGATAAAATTTCAACCACATTACCATCTTGTCTCTTTCAATGCAAGTCATTGGTATCTCTCATTTTGGGCATACAACTTGATATAATTACTTTGCCAGATGAAATTAGTGTTCCTAATCTAAAGATTATTAACATGAGTCATCTTAACGATAATCACGAAAATTTGCTGGCCAATCTGTTTAATTCTTGCCCTTGTCTTGAAGATTTAAGATTGTCTGGGAATTTTGATGAAGATTTTGATAATAGAGATGGGGGTAGAGACATTCATGTGGTTGTTTCGTCATCAAAATTAAAGTCATTGTGTATTCATACACGCAATGTGAGGGGAAAAGTTGGGACCATTCATGTAGATATTGATGCCCCTAATTTGAAGGTGTTTGAAGCTTCAGATGTAAGTCACTCAGAGTTTAGGTTTGTCTGCGAACCAAGAGAGTTACAAAGTGCAAGCTTAACGTATTCCCAAGGTCGAATGAGTAGAGGCACAGAGCTATTTTGGGCATTTCGTGGTGTTAAAGCTCTTATGTTGTGTTTTACTATGGTAATTGCTTTGAATGGCTTGAATGGTGATATTCAATTGCCAACATTTCATAATTTAAGACATCTTGAATTTACAAAAACATCTCATACTTGTTGGAAAACGTTGCTACGTTTTCTTAATCATGCTCCCAATGTTGAGAAACTAACTATTAGGATGAGCTCAATTGATGAGATATTGAAAGTTATGTGTTCATTGATATTAATATCTACAGCCCCGAGATCAATTCCTATAGATACTCCACCTCCGTGCTCGTTGCAACGTGTCAAAGAGATAACTATTTGCCTTAAGGGGCTAGGATACGACCATGAGGCGATGTATTTGTTAATGTATTTATTAAATAATGCAAGCGCCTTAGAACTGCTGGTTGTTGAGGTTTCTGCTAGTGATGCTGATTGTCAGGGCGTTGGATACAGAGTCAAGCTATTTAATATATACGTAACATTGAGGATGCTTCTACAAACTTCTTTGTCACGTCGTATTCAAGGTGTTTTGCAACGTGTTAAAAAGGAGGAATTGCCTTATATGGATTTTCATGACAGTGAATTAGAAGAAAGCTCCAGTGAATTAGAGGAATAAATGTGTGCTTTTGTTATGATGTAAGTGAGCTACATAATAGAGAAAATTATACTTGTAGCCTAAGCTATATGTTTTTTATTTCAATGTCGATGTTAGTTTGTTTTAAGTGTGTGAGTTGTCTTGTGTTAGTTGTCGAAATAGCAATGGGACTGTTCATTGTCTATTTAAAATTGAAGATTAAAGCTTTATATTAGAATTTTCCATGAATTTGAAAATGAATGGTCTTCGTCATTATCTAAGTTATTGGTTAATTCTCAAGTTATATCGCCTCACATAATATTTCTCGACATTTATTTTTATCATTTATAACACTCCTTCTGTCTCATAATACTTTTTCTTTTCTTTTTAGTATATTTAAAAAATACTAAATATAATCAATTGACCAAATTGGTACAAAAATAAATAATTAAATAAGATTTAGTGACAATTTAGTAAAGAAAATAAAAATAAAAATATACAACCCCTGTGACAATTTGGTAAAAGAAAATTAACCACATGCTACAACTTGGTAAAAAAGTAATCTCAAATGACATTTGGTCAAAAAAAACCCATAGATCAAATTAAAAGAAACAAAAAAGATGGAAGTATTTCATATATTACCGAGTGATTTCTATATAAATTGCTAAAAAATAATTAAATTACATAATTATGCCACATTTTATCAATATTTCGAACATAACGTCTACATTCGCACAAATTATTTTTTTACCGGTTCACACTAAAACAACTAATTTTACTCTTATTAAAATGCTAATTCAAGCGGTTTACTCAATTAACGATTTATTACGAGTAAGAATACTATACTAAATTTTGGTATATGTGTATTTATAAAACCACTAATTGTGAATTAGTGGTTTTGTATCTTTTTATAATAAAAAAGGCACAATTTTGATTTTTTTTTTGGGGGTGAAAGGCACAATACACAGGAAAGTTTTGTAAAATGTACTCCGTAGCGTACATGAGATAATTAGCTATTTTCAATCATTTTGTATGGAAATCACTCTATATTACTTGTAGTTCGCATTTCAAATCTGAAGAGTGGGTAATTAATACGAGTAATCGCATGAACCCAAATTCAATCAACTTTTGACTTCAATTTCCCTTTTTCTTCCACCCTCTTTTCCTCATTCAGTTCGCCTTCGCCACCTCATTTTAAACATTTCAAACTCCAACAAAATTCAGCTGCTGTAGCCATACCCATAACCACCATCCAACTCTCTCTCTCTCTCCCATTTGATCTGCAAAACTCCTTCATCAAGTCCAACGCAGTCGATCATCATAATTCTACTACAATAATCGATCAATTTGAAGTCAAATCCAACACTTGGATCTCTCATCTTCAGCTGCAGAATGCATTAAAATTCCAACCGATTTGATCAAGAACAAGAGAATGCTGGCAATGGAAACTGCAAAATCGAAGCTCAAAATTGGTGGACTGATCGCAATCACATTGATAATTAGTGTAATTGGATTATTCGGCTTGTTAAAGCCAATTCACAATGGTTGTGCTATGACTTACATGTATCCGATGTATATTCCGATTTCGGCGCCGAAGAATTTGTCGTCGAATAAGTATGGATTGTATTTGTATCATGAAGGATGGAAGAAGATTGATTTTGATCAGCATCTTAAGCAGCTTAATGGTGCTCCTGTGTTGTTTGTACCTGGCAATGGCGGTAGTTATAAGCAGGTATTCCATTTTTTGAAATTTATTCCTGTTTTGAAGTTTGAATTTCTTCATTTTTGGCAGTTGCTTTAGATAGTAATAAATTTGTTTAGCTTGTATTGCTGGATTATCTTGTTATTTTCAGTAATTTTGGTAAAATTTTGTTGCTATTCATGGTTATTATTCGGTTTTAGTCGGAAATTATTTTAGGCATTCTCCAAAAAGATCATAAAAAAAGTCAAGAAAATTAGGGATTAGGATTCAAAATTGGTAAAAGATTGCTGAATAAACCTAATGTAAACTCGGATTTGAATCTAGAATCAGAGTCTGGTTTATTTGGATTTGACATTCGGTGTTTGCGGTTAAGTTAGCATAACTACCTTCATTTCGTATTATTTGCAACGATTTGACATAAATTGTGCGTAGAAATTCTCTAATCGTTGCAAATAATATGAAACGGAGGTAGTAATTTTAATTAACTGTTATATCTAAGCTTGCTTGTAGGAGCAATGAGGCTAGATGTATTTATAAATTTGATGCATAGTGAACAGAATGTGTAGAGTGGAGTAATCTGACCCTGTACGAGCTGATACGAGGAGTATATGTGTCCATGTGGAATCCGGGTAAGTATGCGTTTCCAAAAAGTTGCATCAAGAATAGAACATAATTAACTGTTATATCTAAGCTTGCTTGTAGGAGCGATGAGGCTAGATGTATTTATAAATTTGATGCATAGTGAACAGAATGTGTAGAGTGGAGTAATCTGACCCTGTACGAGCTGATACGAGGAGTATATGTGTCCATGTGGAATCCGGGGAAGTATGCGTTTCCAAAAAGTTGCATCAAGAATAGAACATAAGCATTGTCACAATTGGTTGGATTTTTCAGAGGAAATTTGTAACTTGTGCATTGACAGATGATGTGAAACTAGTATCAATGATCTTATGCTTACAAATTTAAAAGCTATAGAGCTAGGAAGAAGAAGATAGGTATGATACTATGATTTGGGACAGACAAATTTATACAGAGGTGGAAATATATGTGATTCGAGGTTATGAACTTCTAAAGTAATAATGCTTTAAGCTTTCATGCCAACTATGTACTTGAAGCTACTATGAAACTGTCTTTCGTACACAGTGTGCTGTTCCTGCAGTCCTGCTTCTGTTTTGAATGGAGTTTTTGCAAAAGCAGAGAATAGTAGCTTTGGCGTGATTCCTTTGTCAGAGTTTCTATTTATCTTTTGTTGCTTTGCTCCTCATAGGTGCGCTCAATCGCAAAAGAGTCTCATTGGGCATACACCTCAGGGCCACCTGAACGTAGTTATTATCAAGTGGCTTCTTTGGGTCCAGAGGAAGAGGAGGAAGGGCTGGACATTGGTGCAGCTAAGTTTTCTCTACCCAATCAATATGCTTCTAAGCTGGACTGGTTTGCTGTGGATTTGGAAGGTGAACATTCTGCCATGGATGGTCAGATCCTTGAAGAACATACAGAATACGTTGTATATGCAATTCATCGGGTATGGAGTCATCAGCTTGTTTATGATTATTTACATGTTTTTGATTTCCTGTAATTGGCGATCTTGTTTTGTTCCCTTATATTTTTTTGCATTCCTTAGTTTCTGTCTTTTCTTTTACCAGAGTCTTCTGTTTGCTTGATGTGCTACCAGATATTGGATCAATATAAAGAATCTTCTGATGCTAGAACTAAGGAAGGTGCTGCTGTTTCTGAAAATTTGCCTAAAAATGTTATATTAGTTGGTCATTCCATGGGTGGTTTTGTTGCTAGAGCTGCCACTGTTCACCCAAATTTACGGAAATCGGCTGTTGAAACAATTGTTACACTTTCGAGTCCGCACCAGTGAGTACCTGTTTCATTTCCTTATTTCCTTTTTTAAAGCGGACTGGGGAGTTAGTGGGTTGCTTTCACTGAATGGTATAGCATTTCAAAAAGTTAATCATATGAGCTTTACTTGATGCAGGTCACCTCCTGTGGCATTGCAACCATCTTTGGGCTATTACTACACGTCCATAAATCAGAAATGGCGGGAAGGATATCATATGCAAGGTTCTCATGCTCGTAGTTATGCATCACGTCCTACACTCTCTCATGTTGTTGTGATCTCAATTTCTGGAGGAATCAATGATTATCAGGTTCCTTTATGTCTTACTTCACAGCTTGAATTTGGCTATTGGTATTGACATATCTCAATTGTTCTCTTGGTTATATTTTCACTGTCTTCAGTAGTAAGCTCTTTTCCAACTTGCCTCGTAACAGTTGGTGTCAGTCAGATGGTTTTTGTATTACCTACCATGATATCTTTTCCTGATTTAATATTTGTTTTTAGATAAAGAGTAACATGACTGCAATGTTTTCTCACCTTTTGGTAAACACCCCCCCCCCCTTCTCTTAAGAGAGGACAAATGCAATAGATGAAGTATGTTATATCCTTTGTTTCATTAGTTTATCAACTTGACTTTTTTATCAAGTAATAGTGATAAAGTACCAATACTGAGAGCTTTCAGATTAGCGCTGTAATATATGCATAGACTGATTACTAATCCTCTAGGAATCTGGGATATACAATTTGATGTATTATCTAAATGGTAAGTAGGTCTACACTGTGAGATGGAGTAATTTCCTTTTTACTGTGCATCTTGGAAATGATCGAAGTAGTATTGAAAGTCACTAGACAAAGATCTTGGTAGTGGTAGCATATTTTATTGGCGGATTGTTTTGATTAAAAATAAAATAACCAACTTATCGAACATTTGATTAGCTAACTGAGTAGAAGTAATATATTTTGGTACTGAGCTGCACAGCATTTCTAGTCTTTTGAATATTGATCAAGTCTAGCATTTTGCGATTGTGTCACTAAATCCTTTTGACCACATGTGTATTCTACTTTTTGACTAGGATGGGGATGGTGAAGCCCAAAATTTTCTAATTTTATGTCACCAGCTAGATCTCTTGTATGATATTAGATTCCTAGTTTAATGAATCAACTTTTAAAAGCACTAAGATAATCTTGTACTTCATAGTTCGGAAACAGGATTGACAGTCATCTTTATAATTAGCCCTTTCAAGGTGAGACTTTGACAGTTAACTGGAAAGTTGCTGATTATAGTTTTGTTGGTTAGATGCTCATTTCTTAGGATCCTGAGTATGTATTCATCCTTTTTGTTTGCAGCGCCTCTGGTTACTGAGTGCTTTAACTATATGCATATGCTGTCTAGGTGATGTGCGTTCTAACTCCTTTCACCCTGTCTAAAGGTGCGGTCGAATTTAGAAACTCTTGATGGCATTGTCCCTCCCACCCATGGCTTTATGATCAGCAGTACAGAAATGAAGAATGTGTGGTTGTCAATGGAACACCAGGCAATTTTATGGTGCAATCAACTTGTTGTCCAAGTAAGGATTTGAGGTCTCCCACCAGCAGAGTTTATACTTTATAGCATAAATCTTTTGTTCGGAGTTGTGATTTTTCTTACTTTCAATACAGGTGTCACATACACTTCTTAGTTTGGTGGATTCAGTAACAGGAAATCCATTCACTGATAGACAAAAAAGATTGGCAGTTTTTACAAAGATGCTTTATGGTGGCCTTCGACAAAGAGTTTTGGCCATTGGTGGTGATGAAAGGAATTATCTTGGTATTTCATCACACTCCTAACTGCAAATGCTGATTTGTGAATTAAAGATTTCTTTTCTGCAATTATACTAGTCACCTTGTTTTATGGTACAGTACTACAAAAGCAGTTGCATATCTGGTAAATTTTTTGACGATGGGCTTGTGTTGACCTATGATGCTATGACTCTATGTAAAAATGTATGACAAATAACGATGGAGCAGGAATGCTGTTTCTCTATACTCAAAAGGCTAATGTTTTTCTAGATTTAGGACTGTATTATGCATTGAACTTGTATAGAATTTCTGTTGTCTATAGTTAGAGAAAACTATTTGTGTTTTTTTTTTTCCCCCTCAATAACGTTAGGCTAGTATGGTAGTATTTTAATATTTTACCATGTCATCTATGTAAAGTCAAGCTCAATGATAGTTTCGAAAATATATGAGCTTTCATTCTCATATAGTTGAACTAAAGGGGCTTATCTCTCTGACTACTGGAAGAAATGATTTACACATAAGACAAGTCATTTATAAGTACATTGCTCATGGTATCTTTTTAAATAGCTAACCTTTGCCCAAAATTCATATCGCAGGTTCTTGTCCTAAAAATGTTTTATGGGATGTGGACAATCTTGAGAAGGATCTTTATATTCAGACTCCCACAGTCACTGTCTTAGCAATGGATGGAAAGAGACGTTGGTTGGATATTCAGAAGCTGGTTAGTCTCGGTATTTATGGAGCAATCAGTACAATAGATATTTCCTACCTATTTTCTTTTCCTTATGTGCTATATGCAAAATTTACATGTCAATAGAAGTAAATATGTAGAAAAATGGGATATAGGGGGATCATCTGAATTAAAAATTTCAAACAATAAATGATTTTTGACTATCTTCTCTTCCCCTTTTTCTTTTGGAAGGGAGGCCATAAAATAATTATCTACTTCTTCTCTCACACTACTTTATACATCCATTTCAAGGCTCTGTTCTGTCTAACTTCTTTTGTCTGAATACATAATATCAAAACTTAAAAGCTACCTTTCACTGTGTTAGAACTAATTTTGTCTAAACTTAATTTGAGGAATAAGAGAAGATGAGTTGAAACAAACAGACCGCTGTCTATGTGATGATTATTTGTCTGAAAACGTGGAAAGGAATTAAAGGATTGCTATCAGAATTTTCTTTTTATCTATTTAGGGTGTCTAAGAATCTGTTCATGGAATTATGGCTATGAATTGAATCTTAGGAGTTTAAAATTATTGTACATTGATTTGAAAGTCCATAGCTGCAAACAATTGCAATGGTTTGAGTTATTCCACTTGGCTGCTTGCATTCATTCTTTGGTATTCTTGAATGCTCTGTATCAGTTGTAATAGTTTATTCATGTCTGTAGGGTTCAAATGGGAAAAGCCATTTTGTATTGGTTACAAATCTTTCCCCATGTTATGGGATCAGAGTTCATCTCTGGCCAGAAAAGGGAAACTCTTCATCTGACTTGCCTCTTGGCAAAAGAATAGTGGAGGTGACATCAACAACGGCACAAATTCCATCAGGACCAGCACCAAGGCAGGTACTAATCTGATACTTCCCTGTGTTATCCTCAAAGTTATCTGGTTAAATATACTGCAAGGCCTTAACTCTTTCCATTTTCGTCAGTTTTAAAAAGTTCTTGACAATTTTACTAATGCCTTTTTTGACAAACCCTTATTACTATGTTACCTCTCTTACTCCACAATATTTTCACCTCTTCTCATTTAACTTAATCCATCTTTTTCTTACACCCGCATACCTTTTTACTCTATCTCTCCTAATTTACCCAGTTTTTTCTTACACTCATTCACTATGTCAACACCTTATCTTTGATTGCCTTAATTTGTGTGCATACATTAACATAATAAAAGAACATTCAGAATTGGAGGTAGTATATTTTTTATGGTCAACGGTTGACTACAATCATTAAATTGTTTTATGCTGAGGTTTCTTACCTTCAGTAATCATTGTGATTTTTATTGAAGTATGTGGAGGCAAATCATCCTTATATCATTCAAATAAGCTTGTATATAAAAGATATAGGTCCCTTATTGATAAATCGTCATTGTAATTTAAACATACTGACATCTCTGAATTTTTTTTATGGCCATTACTATCAGATTGAACCAGGGAGTCAGACAGAACAGCCTCCTCCATCTGCTGTATTTTGGTTAAGGCCTGAAGCTATGCAGGGATTTAGATTCATAACAATTTCAGTGGCTCCTCGGCCGGTATTGTCTTAGGACTCACTAGAAATATTTTATTCTGTATTACCCAATCATGTCAACTTTACAACTGATCTGCTCAAACTTCTGTATGTAGACGGTATCTGGGAGACCTCCACCGGCAGCTTCAATGGCTGTTGGACAATTCTTCAACCCAGGGGAGGGAGTTAAGGAATTTTCTCGGTTCTCATTACTTCTGTCTGCCATTTTGCGTAATGTAAGCTTTCTCTAATTTTGCATTTGTCAAAAAATCTACATTCATTATTAATTTTTAATTTGCTAAATTACTGATGTGCAGGAGATATTGTTCAAGGAGGATCATCCTATAGCTCTTAATCTTTCTTTTACCATCAGTTTAGGACTGTTACCTGTCACGATTTCTCTAAAAACAAGTGGTTGTGGAATAAAAAATTCTGGATTTTCAGCTCAAGAGGATGATGATGTTGAAAACAGCCGTAAGTGCTCAGTTTCTATTTGCTTGTGTGTAGTAGAATTTCATATGATATATTTAGATTTTAATTAGCTAATCTTAATCTGGAATCTTGATACATTATAGATTCCTTTCGTTTCCTGGTACCCACTATTGGAGATTTGCTAAAAATGTTTAGGCATAGCCTCTGGTTTTTCTTTCCTAAACCTTAGTTTGGATTCCATGATGATAAGATGCTATAGATAGTAACTTAGAGGGTTCCTACTTCCTGGCTTCTTGGCTTGAATTTCATATACTCCAGTAAGACAACTTGATGATCACTGTATTCTCTTTTTAAAGCTGAAAAGATGTGTTGTAATTGGGATGAAGTAAGTTGACTTTTACAATTATGCTGAAGTTTCTCTTGTTCTTTGCTGAATCTGCTTTCACTATCCATGTAAAAAAGACACGTTTGTTCTGCTATGTGCTAAGCATTCTAAGAATTGATGTGCCTTCCCTGCAGATCTAAATATCTAAATGTGTTTTGCTTCATTATCTTTTTTATTATTTCATTTTAATTAGCTAGAATTTAACTGTTGTAAGATTCAGCTTCTTTAAGACATAACAGAATGGACTCTCAGTTCGATGTCGTTGTTATTAGTTCTTTTAGGGTTGCAATTAATCATTTAAAATCGTGTATATCTTGGGATTGTATAGTGCTGAGTATTCCTGATTCCTCTTTTTGTATACCCAAGTGCCTTTAATTGACAATTACTCAGACATCAAGGGTGTAAACTTTCCAGTATTATACTACCTGTCTGGTTATCACATTGTAAGTATAAATTACATTATAATAGAATAATTATTTGTGGATGGAAGGAGAATATATATTAAAGGTGATATAGTGATATTTGTAGCTGGCATTGCAAGAGCCTTATAACAGTAAAAAAAAAGAAAAGAAAATTCTACGTAATTTTTCCGAGAAGTTGATTATTTCAGTATCTTTTCATCTGGCCTTTTGACATTGTGTTTCACTCTCTTTCACATGATTATTTAATTGCTTTGCATCAATTTTTTTTTTTTTTTTTTTTTTTTTTTTTTTTTTTTTTTTAATTATTGCTTATGCTATGTCATTAGGGCTTTGCAAGATGCGATGCTTTCCAGCTGTGGCCTTTGCTTGGGATAGGACATCTGGTCTTCATGTATACCCAAATCTGAATTCTGAAACAGTCATCGTAGACTCTGCACCAGCACTCTGGAATTCAGCCCAGGGATCGGACAAAACTACTGTCTTGTTACTGGTACATCATTTTTTTTCTTAACTAGTTATTGACTTATCACCATTCATCAGTATATTTATTGTATCTACTCTTAGTATTTATTCAGTACGGAGTACATAACTACTCATTTATTCCATTAACTTCCATTGGTTCTGTTTACAGGCCGATCCTCACTGTGCTTACAAAGCTAGCTTTTCTGTTTCAATCACTGCTGCTGCAAGCAGATTTCTGCTTCTATACTGCTCTAAGGTGATGAGTTGTGCTCTATGATCTAAGTATCAATATTGTTTTCCTCAAGTTTTGCTATGTGTCACTCACCAAAAGAGCATGTTCATTTAACTGTAGATCTGATTTTTTTTAGAAATTTTAATAAATTTTCTATTGTTAGAAATTTGGTTCTAGTATCAAAGTCTGGTGTGGCAGCAAGGATTTGCAGATAAAATTTGTGTTTACAACTGGAAAGTTACTCATACCTTGGTTCCATGGTGAACATTATCAGAAAATTGCAATGTGTCGATTGGTTTGAAAATCTATCTTATCTAAAGATCAACAATCCAACTCCCCCAACTTCTCTTATTGGCCACAGACTATCTATGTTTTATATGTTACAAGAACAGGCAACTTTTGATTATCTATTCTATTACTAATTCATAAAATCATTATATTTAGGAAAGGTTTCTAAAGTAATTCTATTCTACTATTCTAGTAGGCTTTTTTTTTTTTTTTTTTTTTTTTTTTTTACACCAGAATTTTGAAATTTGAAAGCAGATATCAAATGTGGAGTTAATAGCTTTTATTTTTTTGACTAGGTCAAATCACCGATATGTAATATATGTGCCTTGTGTAATTGAACATGGTTTCCTTACTGCTCACTAAACATAATTGTGATTTGTGAATTAAGCCTGTATGGGATAGTGGTTCACTGAACCTTATCAGCTGTTTGGTTCCTTAATCTAGAGTAATATTATAACATATGCTTTATCACCTATTCTCAGTTGACATCATTCACTGTCTTCTGTGGCCTGCTATGAGATCCCCCAATTTCTTTGATACAATCTAAATGATGAATGCCTGATTATAGTGCAACTCCAGTTTTTAAAAAATTAATTGTCAAACTTGTACTTATAGGCAGATGTGCCTATGTGGGCTACGTTTTAAGATTTGCTAAGCTTTGCTTTTTAATAATGTGTCAATGCTGCATGTTTAATTCAAAGCATAACAAAGATGCCTAGTCAGTATTGGATTTGTTGATTTCCCAAATTTATATGTTATGTGGTTGCTGTTGCAGATAGTTGGTCTTGCTATTGCCGTAGTCTTCTTTGTTCTCATGAGGCAAGCACATGCCTGGGAGCGTGATTTGCCTATACCATCAATGTTAACTGCTGTTGGGTGTAATATGAAGCTGTTTACCCCATTTCTCCTAGTGACTGTAGTGCCTTTGTTCACCCCTCCAGTGCTCTCTGTCCTTCAGTTTCATCCCATTCCATCAGTCTCAAGCTTCCTTGTTGTATCACTTGCCTGTTACATGTTTGCGAATGGCCTCATCATTATTCTGATTTTAGTCTCACAGTTGGTTTTTCATGTCAGTGCCGTTGCTCATGTTTTCTTCAGGAAAAGGTCAGTTGACTCAATTTTCCTCCTTCATTCACTTAATGTTTTTTGGATAAATAACAACTTGTTTATATGCCACAACTGCATTCTGCTTTGGCCTTGCTTTGGAGTCCCTCCTTCCCAATTATAAAATATATCGCTGGCTTGCTATTTTTTGTGCCTGACTAGTACTTGCCATGTCTCCGAACATGCAATGACAGTTGTGCAGGCTGTGCTTGATTGGAACTGATGCCAATTTTGCTTGAATGCCTCTTTACACTTTCTGTGCGCTTGTTCTGTGCAAGTTCATGCATGAGGATTGAGAATTACTAGAATTTACAATTCGTCTCCGCAGAGTAAAATATTTCCTGATTTGTGAAAGGTTTCTGATACATAGTTATCCTCTAAATGAAAGTATAAATTTGTCAGAGACTGTGATTTACTGAGCCATAGGGCTTGACAAACAATACTTCCTCTGTTTTTGTTTCTACCTGCAATACTTTTCATATCACGCTTGCCAATGCATTATTGTAATCACTAACATCTTTAATTACCACAATATGTAAAAGTAATAAAAATTTAATAATGAGGTGAATCTAACAATATCTCACATGACTATTTTGCTTGAATGCCTCTTTTACATATTGTTAGATATTGTATAATGTGGCCAATTTTACATATTGTATAAGTCAAAGTGTTGCAAGTAAAAAAAAATTTGAAGTATAGTGTTATAATTTTCTCTCCAAGCTTTGCAGTCTTTCATAATTTTGTATACGTACTTAAGTTAGACAAATACTGAATGCTCAAATGCAGAAAATTGAAGCTCAGCATAGCAATGTCTTTTAAGAAAGTGAAAGATGTCGAAACCTTAAAGCAGTCCTGAACTCCCGATCATATGTGAAGACAGTAGAAAATCAAAAAATATGGGCTCTGTACAAACTTATACATTACTGGAATATACTTGAGTGCTAATTATGTATTTCCTTAATAAAATTAAAAAGGCTGAAGAGAGCTGTCAATAATCTTTATCTTGCGTTATTTTTTTCCTTCTGTAACTGACTGTCATCCTACCTCTTTATACTACTGATGTAATGTTAATTTATCTTCGATCTGTATACTACTACTATCATTATTAGTACTAAAGTATCAGTATTTGTCATGATTATAGTCTTCTTGCTCATTATATGGCAGGTGGCAAGTATGGGAAGGGAACTTCTGTTTGGTCTGTCTCCAAAAGTTTTTCAACCTTGTCTCCAGGATCTTTTCATTTAAGGTAGTGACTTTGACAGATACCAGTTGCTCTTCTGTTGGCATATAATCTTAAATACAACCTAAAAATCTTCTTGCCTTTTGTTTTCTTTCTCATCTACTAATAGAAAATGTTTGTCTTGCCTAATTTGCTGTGGACAGGTGGTGAGAGTTATTAGATCTAATCCAGTACTCATGATGGCTTTGGTAGCAACCATTTTGGTGTGCTTTGTTCATCCAGCATTGGGCTTATCATTACTGCTGATATCACATTATTTATGCTGCCATAGTGCATTGTGCAGGTAATCCTTGCAAGTTGAATTTCAAGTCATTTTGGGAAAGATCACCCTGTTTTTTTAAACGCCAGTGTTTAACTAAATTTATTAAGGTCAGGACATCTTGAAACAAAATCTAGTCATAGAATTAAATTAAGACAACTTTTATTGTTTATCATTTGAAATGTAGTATTATTTCTCAGTGAAGATTTTTGTAAAACAAAATGATGGAAGTTGGTTACTTGGCCGGCCTGGGGAATCCTTGCAACTTTTATTGTTTATCATCACCCTCCCCCCCTGGGGAATGTCATGTAGATACTAAAAAGTGATTTTTTTTTCATTTTTTTGGTGACAGCTATTTGACAGCATCCTATCGCAGAGGAACACAAAAAAAGGAATCATATAACTCTAAAGATAAAGACTATGATCGGTCGGAACAGTATGCTTCTCAGCAAAGCCGTCGGTCGAAACGTGGTTTGCCTTTAGAAGAGAATCATAACATTCCTGGTGGACCCCTTTACAGTTATGATAACATACAGTTAGAAATCTTCCACCACAGACATGGGATGCTAATTTTGCATTTTCTTGCAATGCTAATGTTTGCTCCTTCCCTAGTGGCCTGGTTACAGGTAAGAATGCCAATGTCTTGCTCTTTGAATTTTTTAGTAGTTGTCGTTAATTATTATTTTTCACCACATAAAATACCCGATTGGATTATGTTCTAGCACTGTGTATGACTGGATATGAACACTATCAATCTCGAGTCATAAATTGTGGGAAGGCTGTCATATCTTGCATAACTTTGTTTGAACAACAGGTATAGATTTAGGGTATACCAGAGATACTTGGATTATGGCTGTGTTCTCCGTTAACATTTATAAAAGATGGTTTTAGATAAGATCAATTGAGATTAAAAAACTTTAGCAAAAATACCCTCACTAGTCAAGGAAATTTTAGACTGGAAATTCTAAGGAAATTATAGACTTCAGATAAGTTTAAGTTAAGACTTTGTAAAAGTTCAGGAAAGTTGCAACCCTTCACTTCTCAGTCCCAGTGATGTCTAAGTCTACTTTATCATTTTTACTCCCAATGATGTCATTCATGTATCAATTCTAGTACACTTCACTCAAAAATAAGCTTTAATGTGAGTTCTCTTGTAAACCTTACCTAGGCACGTCTTAATATTGGGCATTGCTTTTGTTTGCAGAGATTAAGAATGGGTCAGAGTTTTCCTTGGTTTCTAGATTCAGTTCTTTGCATTGGTGTCATCCTTCATGGTGTTTGTGACTCAAATCCAGAACTTAATTTCTTTGTTTACCCCATCCCTGGTGTACGTGGGCTTGAAGTAAAGTTGAGCTTTGCCTACCTGCTTGCTGGATATTTTTCATTCTTGTCAGGCCTGGCATTGGCTCCTTATAGAGTGTTATATGCCATGGCTACTATTGGAGCACTTTCATTTGCGTTCAGAATGATCCGAAGGAGGAACAGAGAGAAGGGAGAGGCAATTTTTAGTAGTCGGAAGCACTCTCATCGCCAATAGTTACAGTAAATTTTTGTAGGTAGGTCCTGTACGTTGTACCAATCATTTGTTGATTGCCTTCTGAAGGTATTGTAAACCCTAGCTTCTTGCCCTCAGTTTTGCAATTCCATAACCATTTTCACGATATATTTTTTTTTATTACTGTGGAGAAATGTAGATTGAACTCTGATATAGGACAAATAGATTTAATGTGAACTCACTAGTCAGTATCCCTTTAGGGAGATAACAGAGTTATTTTTCTTCGCTTTTGTATTTCCCATGTAGCTTCACACGCAAATACAATTTCTTAAATGGATTTTTTCATCTTGTTTTCAGTATTTCTAATATGTTTGCACTCCTACTTTGACATCCTCTTGTAAATTGAAAAAAAAAATAAAAAAAATTACATATTCTCAACAATACTTGTCTTACTGGTAAGCTGAACACCATCTCTGTATTCGTCCGTTAACGGGCAAACAATGACAGTTCTATGTTTCATACTGTAAGAAGCTAAGTGGTAGCTTCCAAGAACAAAATATTACATCATTAGATATTCAACTTTCAAAGATATACTCTGCTTAAAGGTAATACATGCCTAAAACATAACTTAGGGATAAGATCTATGGGAAATGATTTATTCATTACATAATGTTAACACAACTTGACGAATCAGCCCATTGTGTAGGACGGTGTAGGCAAATTGATTACAGTGCTCTTAATTTTCGTCATCATATTAATACTGTTGGTTATCCCCTGGGAACCAATTCCACTGTCCTTTATTCCCTGCATAACATAAGAATCATAAGCATCAGACGAAGAAAGACTTTCTATATTATGAGTTTATGACTCATCTCTTAAGGTAATACTCCATATTGATATGCATAATCACTACTTATTGCCAGCAAGCTGATCTTGAGTTTTGGTTTGTTAGAATGTCGCCACAAGCTTACCTGGAAGGGGAAGTGATCTGGTCCGCGAGCAGGTGCAGAATTAATCTGAACTGTTCCTGTCTCCATTGCATCACTAATCAGAATTGCCTTGTTGATGTCTTTTGTGAAAATACATCCCTGCATCAATCATCACATGAATTAAGTCAATAGAGGAATAGAGAGGCAAGTTCCATACCACCCTGCGAAAAATCATTAAGAGCACCCATGTCTGAGAGGCATCATTGTGTCTGAAAGTTTTTAATTCCACTATATTGGGTATTTCATACTTTCATGTCATAGACTCATAGTTGAGGAATTGAGAGCCAAACGAATAGACACGAGATTTTGGTGCTAAATCACACATTAAGTTTCGTAGTTGCAAATTTTTAGAACTGAGATCTTTTGCATGCATTTGCATAATTGCATTGTATCTACTAGTTATATTTATTCTAAAATTGCATGTTATGACTCTTATGAGTACTATATAATAAGTGGACAAACCAGAGGGATTAATAATACCTGGAGACCGAAATTGCTAGCATTACAATGGTGGATCCCTTCTTCGATAGAGTTTATCCTTATAACTGGCAATACAGGGCCGAAAGGCTCCTCCCATGCAATCCTCATGTCAGGTCGAACGTTGTCCAATAGCAAGGGCCAAATGAGGTTGCCCTCCCTTTTATACTCTTGGCAAAAAGTTGCTCCCTTCTCCTTGGCATCCTTGACTAATCCTTCAATAAAGTTTGCAGATGACTCTGTGACAACAGGAGTTATATCACAGTTTTCCTCAGGAGGACCAACCGTGAGTTTGGCTACTCTAGCTTTCACTTTTTCGACAAGAGTATCAGCCACAGAATCCATAACTAGCACAACTTTAACAGCTGTGCATCTTTGGCCACTGAAGTGAAGAAAGGAAAGGATTGAAGTTGTTACATGAATCTAAAACTAAACATGAAAAGGACAGATCGAGTTTATATCAAACAACATATATTATTATTGGAGTATGTTTAAAGAAGCAGTTTGAATTCGACATACACTTTCAACAGGCTACTGAAGTCAAGAATGACTAATGTTAGTTGCATTTATGTGTTATGGATAACATTTTCCCCTAGAACTATGTTGCAGAAAGTAAAAAAAATTCTTTTACAGCATAACATCAACACAGACTATTAATACTTTCTCTTATAGTGTAAACGGATTTTAGAGTAATTGTGAATAAGTTAAAAAAAAATTACTGGAAGATGCTTGACTATGAAACTGTAAGATAAAACAAGCTTGGAAAAGAAGTTTACCTGTAAGAGAAGCCTCCTTTTATAATGTTTGCAGCAACAAGATCCAAATCGGCATCTTCAAGTACAATGCAAGCATCTTTTCCACCGAGTTCCATCTGAAGAGGTACCATTCCAGCCTTCTTTGAAATTGCAATTCCAGTGTCTCCTCCAGTGAAGCTGAAGTCCAAAAAACATAGATATTCAGTAAACATACCTTTCCAAAAACAGTATGTTTTCAAGCTAATCGATGTTTCAGAATCAGCTAAGTGAATATGCCCTCACCTTATGCAGTCAACCCCTGGATGCAATGTTAGAAAATCACCAATTTCAGAGCCTTTTCCGGTGATACAGCTTATAAGTCCTTTAGGAAAGCCGGCCAAGTGAAAGCAATGGATCATGTGGAGTGCAGAAACAGCACCCTACCATACGAGAAACCCTCTCAATGTTAAACATTGGTTTTTTCAAATTGTAAAACAAACAGAAGCTGTAACTCTCTGTAAGTCTAGTACCTGTGTTGGAGGCTTTAGCACAAGGGAATTTCCAGCAATAAGAGCAGGTGCAATTTTTGAGACAGCAAGGTTGACAGGATAGTTGAAGGGTGGAATTGCTAACACAACCCCAAGTGGAATCTGCAAATGAACACATGTTACACATCTATATGAAATGAACAAGGATAACCGACCAATGCAAAGACATAATAATCTATCACTTTCATGACTAGATAAACATGTAGTTATTATATGATGCTTACTGACATAAGTTATGTAGCGAGCAATCACGCACAATATTAGGGGTGTTATAGCATTATCTGTGGTGATTGTTAAAAATCTAGCAGCTTATACTTCTATAGGAAAATTGAGTATAAACTTGTGTACAGACTAACAGTAATTACCGGGATGAGTATCAAGTCAAAATACAAATAGCTTGGGTTTCTCTATTGTTTGTCACTATTCATGGAATAATTTGCAATAAAGCAGCAATACTTTTATGTAAATCAACTGTTTTACAGTTTAGGGGTGGTAATCCTATTTCATTAATCATGTGCTGGTGTAAGGTGGGTCGCAAAGCGATATGCTTCACAAAAATTAACAGGTTGGTTCTACAATATCAACTGTCATTCTCAATTGTCATTCTAGTGGTTCAAACCATGGCCAAAAAAACAGATGCTAGCTAGCTATCCACATCTTATAGGGGACCATTAGCCAGTGGCTAGTAAACTCTTTCACCTACCGTGAATGACTTGTGGATATGTATCTTGGATCTATCCATTTCCATAAATTTAGGAAGACAATGATGTAAACATATACATGCATAACACATTACTAGTAGACAAACAACTTAAGGAAAAACATATCCAAAATGATAGTATTTTGTATGTGTTCCTAATCAGATAAACCCCACGATCTACACTTTTGAATGATCAAGCTCAATTCATATTGAAAAAATATGAATGAATGTATGTTTTCGTTCAATCCGATTCAAAAATCACAGTGTCCAACACGTCATTATTAACCTTAAGGTAAACTTTACTAAGAGCCCCTTTATGGTAGTTGCACCAGTTCCAGAACACCAATACTATCGAGAGAATTATGACACATTAACTCTAGACACGCTAAGATAATATACAATATGTGGCTATTATTTCCAGATGGAGGGAGTACATAAGAGCAAGAAACGAAGGTAGACGCAAAAGAATAAGGATATGCATATAATTCTAAGTTCCTATCTACATCTTTCAGCTTATGACATCTATATAATAAGCAATACATTGAAAAGTATAAAAAAATCCAACAAAATTATAGAAATAATTTATACTTAGGCCATGTTTATTCACCTGATTTAAGCTGATCTGATCTGATCTGATCTGATATTTTCTGATCTGATCTGATCTGAACTAAACTTATTTTTTTTTATCTAATCTGATTTGAACTTATATTTTCTGATTTGATCTGATCTGAACTTATTTTTTCTGATCTGAACTTATTTTTTCTGACCTGATCTAATCTGAACTTATTTTTTTTTTATTTGAACTTTTTTTAATTATTTCAATATTCTACTTTTAATGTTAATCGATATTAATGTTTAATTATTATTATTATTATTATTATTATTATTACAAATATTTTAAAGAAACCTATAAGTATTAAAATTACTAGATAGTATAAGGTAATAGAATTGGAATATTTGATAATTTTATTATTTACAGTATCCCACTTCATAAATGAATTTTTTTTTATAAGAAAGTTTTAAAATGGGGATCCTAAAAAAACTAAATTACAAATTAAATTTATCATAGTTTTTTTCTACATAGAAAAAAGGAGATTTGACTTGTTTTTAAATACCTTAATTCTTGAATAATAATATGGATTTATGATGTATCGGATTTGATTTTATCGTTTGTTTGAACTAGCAACATTTTCTATGTTACTTCGTACTAATTTTAATTGTAGTAATGCGTAGCTAATATTATTGAAAACCTTGTACGTATACTCCCTTTGATTTTAAATACCTTCTCCATTTTTACATGTGGGGAGTTTTAGGAGAAATTGGTATACGTAATAATATATGGATGGGGTAAGTGGAAAAATAAAAAATTGTATAAAGCAAAAGTATTTAACAGAATAAGAGGAAAGAAAATATGAAATTTAAAAAATTTTATTTATGGGAAACGTTAGGCTTGTTATCAAAAATATGAAATTAAAAAAAAATGAAAATATACATAATATGTTGTACGAAGATATTCATTTTTTTGTATAGGAAACGTTAGGCTCGTTTATTAATGCTTTTTTTTTTTGTAGGAAAAAAAAATAATATTTTGTAAGAAGATATTCAAATATTTTTTTTAAAACCACTTGATCAAGTATTATTGTTTTGATTAGAAGAGGGTGTTTCTAGGAAAAACCAAAGTATAATAATAATAATAATAATAATAATAATAATAATAATAATAATAATAACCATCATAATAATAATAATAATAATAATAATAATAATAATAATAATAATAATAATAATAATAATAATAATAATAATAATAATAATTTGTATTTGATCTGAACTTCTTTTTTCTGATCTGATCTTATTTTTTCTGAAATAACTAAAAATAAGGTAAACTAAATAAGGCCTTAGTCCTCT